TTTTTTTTTTTTTTTTTTTTTTTTCTTTTTTTTTTTTTTTTTTAGCTCTCTAACTTTATTCCTTTTTTTATATATGTTCTTTTTTTTCTGGGCTTTGGGACTCTCCATTTTTCAAATTCATATATGAAATATAAACAAGACCTTCTCAAAGCTTGGTACCTGACAAGTCAAGAAACCAAATTATGGGAGGTTTCAGTAATGGGCCACAATAATCAACCACACTGAATATTGACAAAATAAAATAAAATAATTAAAAAAAAAGAGACGAAACCAAATTATCTCTGAATCCTTGTTAAGAATTTTGTTTCATCATACAACAACTGACCACCAATGGAAGGTGGCAGGAAAACATTGCAAGTACATTAAAAGAAATAGAAGCAAAAAGGAATAGAAGCGAGGCAGAAGGGCAAAGCCTGGAGGTCATGTTAGGCAGATAATGTTACTGTTTGCACTAAATCTGTTATCCGATAACCAACACATAAACTCAGTCTTGACAAGTACACCCACTCTGGTAGTCACAAATCACTTTTAAATACATCTAATGCATTCCAGCCATTCCACATAAAATTCATTTGCATACCTGAACAAAGAACACAATCCAAAGTAATGTCCAAGTATTGCAACCAGAGAGGATGAGGTGTGGCACTGTTGAGAGTTCACAGACAATTGTTTGGCTTTTGGTCTAATGATTCTGCAAACTATTGTCTTAATTATTATATTTTACCGACCTCAAATACTATATGTGCAATAGGCAGTTAAAGTCAGTTTACTCAAAACTTTTCTATTTACTAAATTTAGAAATAAATAGCAGCTTTGCAATGGCATTTGAGCTAGAAAATATATTAAATGGATAAAGGCAATAATGTAAACGGGAGAAGAGGCAGACTGAAAGAAAGTGAACCGAGATGCCCGGCACCGTTCAAGCTTTATTAAAGGAAGAAAATCTGCCGGGCTGTGCTCAAAGTAGCAGGTAGGCCAGGACTGCCCTGTAAGGTGGACAGCACCAGGTGTGGGGGTGGTAGAGCTTATATAGTGCGCCAAGGGCTGATACCATCAAGGAGTGTCATTATGCTAATGTGGATCGGGGTGGAGAACTGCGTTCTTGCAGAAGCAAAAGGGGTTTCTGTTTAAGTCAGGAGGCTTCTCCTAAAGAGAAGGGGGAGGGGTGGGGAGGAGGTGGGAGGTGGCTCCATTTTGTACTTGGGCTTGTCTAAAGTGTCACTGGTTATGTTGCAGATCTATTACAGACAAGAGACACACTTTATCGACCCCTCCTTTCATTTTTTTTTAATGAGCATGATATCAGGAAGCATTAGGCAGTTGTAGCTTATTTTTGCCTTGATTGACTGGTACCTGTTTCTGTAGATTTCTGCACATGGTATTTTTCATAAAAGGTAACATTAATAATCTCTTGTTCATAACACTTGGTGTTTTGTTGGGGCCATAACTCTCAAACATTAGTTGACTTATTATCCATTTCATATTGTATACTTAACTTATTAATATTGTTTCACAAATATTTGTGATCATACTATTTGAATTCCCCAAATTGTTAAAACCATCTGCTATACTTGGAATATGTACTTTAAGTTTCTTTTTATTAGGAAATCCTGATTTTATTTTCATCATTCAATTTAGCCATAAAAAATTGCTCTAAATGGCATGGATTTAAAAATTTTTACAATGGTATGTTTATACAATATGACTAATATTATTCTTTGATGTATTATCACAGCTCTCAACATGCATTCTCATCTAATTAAATGGGAAAATACATATGGGGTAGAAACTAGTTTGGAGAAGGACCAGACTGTCCCCATTCCCAAGGCTCTCCTGAGATACCTTAATTCCAATACATAGGTTTCCAAAAGTTTCTAGTAAGCATTTTATTTTTGGTTTATAATGCTGTGTGACAGTGATTCATTGAGTTTCATGATTATCTGAATCTTCTTATTTTATTTTTTTAAGATCAATGGATAGATCCAAAAGATTTCCCACTTAACATAATCATTTACTCGTATTTGTTCTGTTTGCTTAGACTATTTTAATGAAGGATGTTGTGAACTGGTGTTTCTCTCTCTTCTGTGAAGCTCTTCTGAAAGCTGAAGTTACCAGAAAAAGGGGTCTGAATAAGTAATACTATAGGTGTTCACCATAGTCATTTTTTTAATAATAAAAAAAATGGATGGTGGATTCATGTTCTCTAGAGAAACAGAATCGATAGGGTGTGTGTGTGTGTGTGTGTGTGTGTGTGTGTGTATACAGAGAGGCAGCGAGTGAGACAGGCAGAAAGAGAGAGAGAAAGACAGAAAGTGAAAAATAATATGTATGTTTTGTATCTGGCTCACTTGATTGCATAAGGTAGCAAGTTTAGAATGTGCCGGGTAGGTCAGCAGGTTGGAGACACAGGGAAGACTTGATGTTGCAGCTCCAGTCTGAAGGCAGACTGCAGGCAGATTTTCCTCTTCCTCAGGGAACTTAAGTCTTTTTTCTCTTAAGGCAATCAACTAATTGAATGAGGTACACCTATTTATGGAGAATAACCTGCGTTATGTAAAGTCTACTGATTAAAATATTAATCTCAACTATACCCTCATAACAATGTTTCAACTGGTGTTTGACTAATATCCTGCGGAAGGCTAGCCACGTTGACAAGATTACCCAGCACACATGTGTTAAGTAAGGTAAACACATCTGTGTTGGATAATCAAAATTTTTCAATTTGGAATTTATTTCTTCTCTCCTACATTCATTCATTCTTTTTTTCCCCAGCTCAACTGATTTGCTGCCTTACAAAGCTATCACTTTTTCAAATCCTTCCACATCGCTCAAGGGCTCAATGCTACATTACTACTACTGTAATGTAAATCTCAAATATTATCTCTTAGAATTTCAAAACCCTTGATGATTGATACTCATAATATCTGTGACATTGGTTTTGTTAACATGTTTTTGTAGTTTCTGAAAATGAGGGAGAAAAATCTATTCTGTTTTTTCAGGAGTAAAACTTAAAAGAATTTAAATTACTGAGACTAAATTCATGAGCTATGTTTTACCTAAAACCTGAAAGAAAATGAAATGAAATGGTTTTTTCCCAGGTACTTCATCATTTATAATCTGTTGCTAAAGAGCCTTTAAGAGCTTCAGAATCTGTTTCAGTATAGAAGTAAGGCAAAAGGGCTTCTGTAAAATAATCATTAAAGATATAAAGAAGAGACCTATCATTAGTAATAGAAACAGGAACTTTGCTCAACACACAGTACAGAAAAATGTGCATCTTACTGGTTCTTACTATTGGAAGAAGCTGAGGAGTTTTCTGCTATTATTTCATTGAATATTTTTTTAATGCCTTTTACTTTGTTCTCCCCTTCCAGAATACCCATGATTCAGATGTTTGTGTGCTTAAAGTTGTCTGCTAGCTCTCTCAGATTTTCTTCATTTCTTTTTATTTTTTCTTCTTCTTCTTTTTTTTTTTTTTGGCCGTACAGCAGATATTGACAAAATAAAATAAAATAATTAAAAAAAAAGAGACGAAACCAAATTATCTCTGAATCCTTGTTAAGAATTTTGTTTCATCATACAACAACTGACCACCAATGGAAGGTGGCAGGAAAACATTGCAAGTACATTAAAAGAAATAGAAGCAAAAAGGAATAGAAGCGAGGCAGAAGGGCAAAGCCTGGAGGTCATGTCTTTCTTCTGCTTGCTCTAGCCTGCTGCTTATGACCCCACACAACATAACTGCTCTCTTCATATCCCCCGACTGCCTAAGACCCACCAGAACTAATGGCTGATTCTGCCAGTTCTTAGTGCAAAGACACTCTGGACAACCCCCACTATTCATGTAGGTTTGTTTCCCACTTCTACCTATCGGCAATGCCTGCCAGAATTAAATTTCTTAGAGCCTGGGCCAGCAGGGTGGGATAAAATCTCCTTGATTTATAAAAAAGGGAGTGTTTTGTCTTTCCATATATCATAGTTTTTCTATTCTCAAGCATGATAAGCTGAGGATGTGGTGTTTCAAGATACAGAATCATACCTACTTGAAATGATTTAATGATTTTGTCCAACCCAGAGTATTGTGGAGGAAGACTGAATTTGTATTTCTTTAATCATAACAGAAAGATATCAAGGTATTTAAGTTTATGTACCTCAGATGAATACTTGCAATGTCAGTAATTACAGTTTTAACTGCCCACGTTTCCCTTCTGCCTCCCTCAGTAGATGTTTTAATGTGGAAAAATGGTCTGAAAATTGTATAAGGTTTTGTTTAGTTTTTTATAATTTTCATTGCTTCCTCTTGCATCTGCCCAATATAGCCTCTTGCTTATTCAGTACAAACAGTTTAAGTTGCTCAAATTCAGAATTTATTTCTACACACCTTCATTCTTTTTTTTTTGGCTCCACTTATTTGTTGGCTTGCAAAGTTACTACTTTTTCAGTTGCTTTCACATTGTTTTTCGATGGCTTAACGAGTACTACATACCAGAATTTTCCTATGATGGTGGCAGGCTTCTTCATGGGGAAAATGTAGTGCTTCCAGTGTTCAGTGGAGAAATTGCTTGTATGCATAAAATCTTTAGGTCCTTCTCACAGAAAAGAGTGAAAAACTGATTGTACTTCATATATGTAGTGTTCTATACTGTGTCTTCCTTTTACTTCTTCCGATCTGAAGTACCTTAGCAATTTCAATCAGATTATCAAGCTGGGAATTTCTTCTGAAGTTTTTGCTTGGATAGCCAAAATAGCAGACAGGGAAGGGAAATGTATTACCTAGAATATTCTAGGACATATTAATGCAGGATCCACCAAAGTTTGGCCCACAGTTGGTAACCCCTGGGTCTTTCAGATGGATGTGGCAGTTAGACTCCTCTTGGAGGTTGACCAGGGCTGTCACAAATTTCACTAAGCCAGGATGAAATGTGGTGGGTTAGGTAAAACTCCCTTCTGCAAGGTCTACTTCTCTAAGCTCAAGACCCCCTAAACCTCGAAGACTGATGACAAGCTTTAGATATCACTGGCCTGGTATGTTGACAGTAGCCACTAAATTCTTGTTCTGCAACCTGCCTCTTAGCTATGGAGGAATCCACAGCTTGCAGATCTATCATATATAGGCTCATCTAAAGGTAAGTTTGATGACATTTTTTGAAGAAGGTTAAGTTTAACGACTTTCTTCTTCGAGAAATGACTTACTTTCTTCAAGAAAGTAGCCACAGGTTCAAACAAATAATCATTCCTTTACAATGTAGACATCTACAGAATATCACCTTAACCGATGTTGGGCATAACTTTGCGCGCATGTGCCCTGACGCGCACGGGCGCCAGTTCATGCGCTCCGCGGCCACCATTTCACTAGCGCTCAACGGCACGTAGCTGCCAGCCTCGCCCTTCCGGGTCCCAGTGATTCAGCAACTT